AATTTGACTAGTTGGAAACTACCGTATTATACTATTGCCATAATCACATGATTGAACTGATCTAAATTTAAAATATCTTGCATTTAAATGAGTTTTGTATGCATTCTTCAACGATTATACGATACAAACAAGATATAAGTAAATGAGAATTACGGTTAATTTGCATATGATTTAAGACTATAATTTTCTATTATTAAGTATTTATTTCTATGGATTTTATTTTTTTGGCTACGCCAAAGTCAGTAGAAAAGTTTTGTTGAGCCTTTTGGGTAACATCACTCATTCTCTAAACAAGTAAATACTTTTCGTTATCAATTACTTTATAATTTTATTTTTTTCGAACTTTCCATAACTTGTAAAATGCATTTATCTCGATGAATCAGTTTCATAAGTTCTTTAAGTTTATGTATATATTTACTTATGAATGCTCCAAATTTTATACAATTTTGGACTAATTTTAAGAAAGAATAGTTGTAAAAAAATTTACAATATTCATTAAAAACATTTTACATTTTTCATTTTTTAAGTTATAATACAAGAATCGTACCTAGGTACGTATTCCGTTACAATTTATTGTTTACCTATACACCTAAAATGTAAACAGAGGGAGCTCATAAAATACAAAATACCCGAATATGTATTATTAAAAAAATACTCACCTAAAACAAAAAATTACAAACTACTTCAACATCTAGGAACCACACTAACGTTCGAAATTCAAATTAAAAAAAGCTATTCAGACATATTTTTTTGCAACAGTAATAATTATTTCGCGCGCCAATATCACAGGCACTCCACATTAGCGCTCGATCACAGACTGATCTAGCGATACGAATACAAGTCTTGAACGGCCCATGCGCACTTGCCCACGCAACTTCCCTTACCATATAAATAAACCAGTCTACACGGACAAAAGAAAAATAAAACAATGCTGCAAGGACAAAAGAGTAAGGGTAAAAAGGAAGCCATATTAAGTATTTAATCGATTTAAATTGGACCTATAAGTATTTGTAACTAAAAGACTTTTTGTTCCGGTGAATGTTGGTAGTAATTTTATTTCCACAATTAAAACTATAAATAATATCTACTGTAATAATTGTAAAAGGAAATTCAATAATACTGTAAATTTTTTTTATTTGGCATTTTTTTGATTTGACAACCCAATGGTGGATTATGATTATCTTCCACAAAGGAGGGTTTGGTATATTCTTCGTGCTTGACGGTCTCACAATTGAAATAGTTTAGGTATATTAGATTACTGCTGCCTGGTCTCTATCAAATGTGGTCTCTTAGGACATTGTGGGAAGCACCGCGACCTTGGCTTGAAGCAGGAGTTGAAACGAGGTTTTTTGTCAGTATGAGTCTGGACACTCTTTCTAACCATACCTCTACACAAAAAAAAGTCATGAGAAGAGTTTATGAAAGAAAAATTGTGTCGTACTGTATAGTCACCATGCCCAATATTGGTAGCAATTTTATATTTCATTTAGTCTGTGTTAATGCGTTATAATATAATAATGAGAGATTTTCTCGAGGATCATCCTATAGTCTGTGGGTGCAGGATATAGGATGGAGTGCATCCGAACGGAATTATTTATCAACTCGACCTATCATCTCGTTTGAGACGTAGGTTTATCACTAAGGTCCATCCAATGAATGTAAAATGCACAGAATGTACGGAAATTTTAAAAGGTTGGCTCATATTTTGGCATATACCTAACTTAATAGGTAAGTGTTGCGTATTTGCACACTTAAATTGGAAATATCAGTATACCAGAAGACCGGTTTCGTATTGTATTGTAAATATTTGCTTTTCTGTCACACTTGGGCAAATATTTCGATTTTCATTCCACCTTTTCTTTTGAAACACAAAACTACAAGACATGAGCCACCAAAACATATCGTTTGAACGTGTGTAATTGATTGTTAAGAAGCACTAACAGTAATAAACATTTAAACGATCAGATTGCATCACGAGTTGCCCATTACAATTGACTCAAGTATCAAAACTACATGTGTATAGTGCCATTAATAGTAACATTGAAAAAATCAACCTTATTCCTTCGTTTTAAAGACCATGTCGAATTGTTACAAACGATCCATTAATTATACCACCAAACGTGGTACGTGTGCATATACATATTGCGTTATCATGGAATATTCATTTTAGCTTGTTTAGCAAAAAAAGATACTAAAAATACTTTTTTTTATGAGTATTACTATGTTTTAGTAATTTTGTTATGATTTCTATCACACTTTGTAATGTGAAACCAGTTGTTATTGTTGAATGTTTGTTGGAATTTGAATGCAAGATCTAAATTACTGAATGATTGCATACCAATTTATGCAGTACAGTATTATACAATCTACTTATTAACTCATCATACTTGCATGATCTATTATGTTGAGTTCATGATAGTTATTTGTTTGTAAACAAATATATACCATACATTTAACAGGGATACATTATAATGGGAAGGATTTTCTCACAAAGAAATCGGACTAATTTCCAATTGGGATCGTTTCTAGAGTGGGGTGGTGAATGCCATTATTAGAGAAAAATATTGAGCACAAATGTCGAGGAATAAGTACCTACTCTTTTGAAAAAAAAAAATTATTTATTTTACAAACCATAATTATTATTAATCTGTAGAAAATTCCTTTACTATGAAGGTCCTGAATGTGTTAGTAGATTTATGAAAGGAAATAAATAATTATTGCGCGTGATGATTCAACAAGTCTTTAGATATGGATTTATTTATCTTTAGGTAGAAAAGTAATTACCGCATCCACACGAATTAAGCTGCGGGGGACTTACAAGTGATATTATCTAGATATCTTATCCATGACGAAATACATCAGAATACTGACTTGCATTTTACTATAATAACATTTATGTGACACATATTTCTGTTGTTACGATAAAACTGGGTATTTTTAAACGACTTTTAAACGTAATAAAATATCATTCATATAAGTAGGTACTTTGAAAACTGACGTTTTTAAACAAAATGTGTGTATTGAAATTGGCTTTCAGTTGTCAATAACAGGGTTGTAATATAACTGTTTGTTTATTAGTATCCTAATTTTAAGTTCAACTGGAGGACTAATTAATAGCAAGGAAAAAAATTAAAATAGAAATAGATTTTTGCGGTACACCAATTGGCATATTTATAGTTAAGTTACAACAAGGTTGCCAGGTGACAAAATCAAGGTCCCAGGGAGCCATGTGATGTAGATAGCTTTCAACTGGCCCATTTAGAAGCTATTAGTGAGGCCTACATTTTGTTAGCAGTGGATGGCTTGTATGTAAATAACTACAGCCGAGGTAAAACACACACACATATCCCAATGTCGTACAGTTGCATGTGCTAAGTCACGAATTCCTCGCACTCTAATCTCCTGGGAATCAAATCCAACTATTGATTGGTTTGCAGATGAATGGAAGGAAATTTTATTGGAATGCATAAAGTACAGCTACTGCAAGAGAAAAACATGTTTTTAATTTGTCTTGTTTTTTGTTGTTAATATAATTGGATCTAATCTGTATTAATATTAATAAATTAATAAAATCTATTTTTCTCTTTGTTCTTTAAAATACCTACACGATATTTTCATGTAATTGTAAAGTGTTTTACATTGGTCAAATGTATTTTTATAATCTGTGACTGTTATGTTAGTGTATGTAATAAATTAATACAAAGTTTACAATGGTAATGAAGTGCCCTGCATAGTTACTGATAAATACAAGAATTAGCCTTCAAAAGATTTATGTTAGCCATGACCACTTGCACTGTACTTAACGATAACTTGATAGTAAATTTATTCTGTATTTTATAGAACTAGAGAATAAAATTATAAGTGCAATATTTAAATTGTAGACAATTAGTAAGTATAAATAATAAGTCTTAAAGCCATTTTATGTACAGTCAATTTATTTTGTTGTTGTGTACTGTGTAATAGACTTATACATACAGAAGTTAGTTTTAGAAGTATTATAACTGGACCTTATAACACTGTAGTTTCTAATTAGTCAAATCAATACTTTATTCAAAGTCTTGCATGGTGCAACGCTTTGTGTGATCCATATCCATGATTCATTTTTGTTCTAAAATTGTATTCTGTTTTTATAAATATAATTTTATACATAGGATAAAATCCTAGGGTAAGTAAATAAAAAAAACTATTTGGTTTAAATTATTATATTGTAGCTAAAAGAAAAAATTACTAACTTTTAGCAGATCGCGGGTTCAACTAACCAATTCTTATTAGTTTTATTGGTTTATCTATCATTATTATTACTATTCTTAATAAATTCAACAATAAACATATTTTTCAAGTTAAAAACTATTTTTTACAGGAGAGGACTAACTTGCTATGCTCAATAGGAAGAAAATTGATCCCAAATTTCCTTTTAACAATTTTAGAAACAGAAAGTGCAAGAAAAAAATAAACATTCAAATAAGTGTATTCATGGTGCAGATTGGATTTTGCAAATAGACTAACTAAAAAAACTGTATTTTTTTTAATAAACCAAATTTTTAAATTGTAACTCTACTTTTATTGTATTTTGTCCTTATAATGAAGAATAGTTTAAATACACACACTTTCAAACTGTTTCAGTTAATGTATATTTATTGATATAGTCTTGATAAAATAAATAAATATGTTTTTTATAATAGTTACCTAATAAGACTACTATCGGACAAAGGTATCAGCAGTTTAACTTGTATGTAAATTATTTGCTCAAGGATAAAACTGCATTAATCAAAATGTTCATTAAAATTCATAATTAATTTAAAACTGATTGAATATAATAGCATTATCTTACCGCAAATTGAAGTCAAAAATAATTAAAGTTCACTAGATGTCCATTCTAATTAGAAAATCAGAAAGAACCGTTTGTTAACTGTTGAATAAAAGTATCGCTAAATATCGATTACATTATTTTCATTGATGGTGTAACGTAAAAACTGCACTTTCGGCATTAAAATACTTACCACAGTACAGCTGTTGTCAGTTCTACCTCACAACGAAGTCTTTAATTTTATTTTTATCAAACTACACACATCACGATCTTCTACCCATTGGATAATAGTTCAATACACTGACATAAAAATTTTATTTAAATTTTATTCGAGTGCAAAAACCTTTCGCAAGCAAACCGTGTCGAATGTTGACAAAATTTTTGGATTCTGTCAATGTCAGTTGACAACGTCAGAAACGTTTAGTTCATACGGTTGTGATCATAGTTAGAGAAAGAATTTTATTGTAATGATATTCAGGATTTTAAAATTTGTAATGTAATATTTATTTTAAAAGAAATTACGTGATTTTTTTTATTTCTAATAATATTCACAATGTGGTTGTTACACCAGCGCCACCCCGAAAATAGGAAGAACTAAACTGCAACAACTATTGAAAGAAGGCAGTAGGGAAAAATTATATTTAAGGATTATTTTAAAATTTTTATACATGATGTCTTTACACAAAATATAATTAGGTACTGTTTAAGCAGAGAATATTACGCAATTAAACGTTTTGTAGGTAGGTATTTATTTCAAAAAGTTTGATCAACGTAAGGTACCTTTTGTATAAACTCTTCCGTCACGTTCATGCTTTCAGAGCAACCGTCACGCTTGGCCGTACTTTCTCAAAAGCGGTTTATTCTCCGGTTGAGGTGTTTTCTTCTTCGACTCATGGCTATGACGTTTCTGCAATGTTCTTTTTTTGCTTTTGTACCTAATAGGTAGTAATTCTTATTTACTTAATGTTGTATAAATTTATTAGGTATCTACCTACACAATTAAGTAATTTCGTCACCTTGTATTTTTAATTAAGTATAATATGGTTTAGTTAAGGCAGGAAGTAGGTATGCCCTGGACTAGATTTTAGAATAATGACAAAGTACCTATATAAACAGAACGCCTGCCGCTTCTTGTTGGCAATGTGGAAAACAACATATTGTAACATTTTGAAGTAAAAGAAACATGAATGCTGAAAAAAATAAGTAGAAAAGGCATCCAAAATTCTACTAGGGAAAATGCTATAGGTGAGTACCTATCTATATTTTTAAGTTGATTCCATATTTACGATCGACTTACTGGACTATAAAGGCTGGTTTACACGATGCTATTTTCTTGAAAAACAGGAGCATAAATAATTATGTTCAAATTTAAGGGTTGTTGTACCATATTATGGATTGTTTAGTCCTTGCAATTCAATAATAAAATTGCTTTAATGAATTGGATTTAACAGGCAAGAAATTTGAGTTACCTACCTATACCTATACAAATGGGGCTTAAGTATACCTACACGTGATGAATGAGTAACGTCAACAGGTAGGTAATGTTCGACGTAGAAGAAGCTACCATAAATTATTTTTAAAAATTCAAATTGTAATGCAGTACAAATTTAAATTTGCATCAGAACTAAAAAGGATCTAAAACAAACATCTCATTGTGTAGTCTACAAGGCTACGAAGCCGCAGGAGGGAACTAGTTTATCGAATCTTTAGATTATCTCCTTTGGGATATTGTAGTCAGTATCGTCTTTGAGAATTATATTCAAAGATGTTTTTGCGAAAATGCTGTTGAAATAAGGAAATTCCTCGTTTGATTTACGATAACAATGTCTTGTGAATAGACGGGAATAAATCTTTTACGAGTGTACACCTGTCCCATACATAAAAATAGTAATGTATTGTGACATCAGTGGAGGATTGGAGTTACGCATTTGCGGTGGTCGCGGATTGTCTTAAAGACCATACCCCAGACATGGGGTCAGTTTAGGGGAGTAACGTGATGCATTTTTTTTAAACAGAGCTTACCTAAACAACGATAGAATGCCTGAAATGAGTAATAAAAAAGTGGAAAATTTAACTAGTGTCCTAAAGAATGCACTTTTGGTAATTCATGCGTAAGTTAGAGATATATCATTCCCTTAAAATGTTATTTTGGCTGGGGCTTGGACCATCATTTCGCCCATGTTATCAGAACTATCCTCACATGACAACATCAGCCTATACCTACCAAAGTGCCCACTGCTGAGTAAGTATTTAAATTTAGAAAACTATGTAGATATTAATCCGGGTCATTATCCTTCTGTGTTATAGATCTTCTTGAGTTCTGCAGATCATTTTGTATCCGTTATAGTTTTTTTGTGACCATACAAACAACTTCACAAGGTTTTCTAATTGTAATTGGATGTCAGGCAACGACCTGTAAGATCCGGAATGCTTGTATGTTTACGTATACCTAGGGAGAAGTAGGTATAACTCTTATTATTCTGCCCATAATCTAGTTGATTTAGAACATCTATTTTTGGTTAGATTTTCTAATAGGAGTTAGGCCTAAAGCAATTATATCTAATGGGAAACAAGAAACGAATAAAACTGCTAGTCTTTTTAAAATTTAATTTAATTTTGTGACTGGCGGGAATATCTTCGAGGAATTTTTGAATTGTATCCGTTGCGACTGGGTCCTGGAACAAAAACAGAACAGTTAAGTTTCACATAAATTTTGTTAAATGGAGGAGGCACGTGGCGTTCCTACAGAGCTCGAAAACGTTTTGTTAAAATGTATGTGGTCATACATACATATGTATGTGGGTCGAATCTGAAACGATATAAATCACAGAGCAGGCGTTATGCACATAACTCTCTACTTTGGACTCGGACCACTTGACATTAGCAAGGTCTTGTCCCCTACCAAAGAATTATGTAGCTCCATTATATCTGGAAAGGGCCTAATGACAATAGAACCTTTAATAGCTGAATGCTATAATTACGTCGATTTTCTTAAGTAATGTTTAAGGGCTTCAGGATTTGTGACATGTCGCTTTTAAGGGTTTTGTGCCCAAAGGGTAAACAAGGGGAAAGGGCGATTTCAAAAAATATATCAAAAATAGGCTTTATACGATTCAGCTTGTTTCGAAAATTAAGTTGTTGTTAGTCTTTATTTTTCTTGTTAGGTTTTACAAAAAGCGAAGCGGATATCAAACAGACGGATCTTATTATTCTAAGCTAAACTAAACAATTTAATAATAGTGATTAAAAAACGAAACCAGTTACAGTAATTGACTTTTTAATCTTCGACAAACACGACCAGTGTTTAATTAAAGTATAAACGAACTTACTACAGAACTCTTTGCTTATTCCAAACTTTATAGTCAGTATTCAAAGGATGGCTGCTATGAAATTTACGAAAAAGGTTTATGGAGCGATCATGTTTGGAAAAGTCAGTAGAGGGCACCCTATATGGAGCAAATAACAGCAATTAAAAAAAAAACAATCGACTAATAATACATGAAGAGGAATGTCAAAACATTTACCGTCAGAATCGTGGAATATAATCGTGTTATATTGTCTCTCTTGATATATAAAACATGTTTGCAGGTACCTATTATAGCTAGTAATCAGTATCGTAATATCTATATATATTTTTTTATATATGTACGGATAGGCAGATTGCGAAGTTTGCAAGGTCTGACATTAAATGAAACATTCAGTTCTCACAAATCCAGATTCCGTGGCAAAACTGAGTAATCATATCAAATCATACTTTATGACACAGGAATTAAACATCTTGATCAACAGTCTGTAGAAATCAAGATCAACAACAATAAAACACACACGGAAGAAGGAACTGGCATTATTTATAGTGATTGTGATAAAACGATTGATTAAAAATAAATTCGTAACTTATTAGTCAAATTGTTTATGCATTCGTAAACATAAGATGGAGGCATGCATGACGTCATAATGTTAAGGAACTCACTTGTTCTTGAACCGAGTTTTTGTTGTTATTTATAAAACCAGTAAGTAATATTTCAAATATAGATACTTATTACAAATATTATTAGTAGTCGTATTTTTTCTATAGGTCTTCAAAATTTTTTGTTATTTTTTGCTCTTTATAGATTACTTTGTTGGGCCACAGCCCTACAAAGAGGCTCAAACGTACCTAATGCGGCTCCAGCCTAGAGCAGGAGAAAGAACGGGATATTTTTAGTCAGTAAGAGTGTCACACGCCCTCTCGCTCCAATCAGGGCTGGAGAAGTAATTTTATGATTTTCACCTACAAAATAGCCCCACCAATAATACCTAAGTATTTCTGGTTCGGTATAAAGTTAAATGTTTACGTAATGGACATGTCCAGAAAACGATGATGAAGTGACATGTATGCAACATTTCTTTAGACATCGATTTATCGAAAAGTAGTATAATATAGTTTGTTTAGTATCCAATACTGTAATGGATATATCCACTGGAATGCGTAAATTAGAAGTCCACGAAAGAATAGGACAGAAAATATAATCAAATCTCTATAATTGAAATGAAATTTATGATTATAATGAAATCGTATCCAGTGTAATACACTATAGAAGTAACTCTTTGTTATGTCCCTCCCCGTAGTCCCAAAATTGTGCGGAGAGGTTATCAGTGGGACCTAATTTAATTCATTATGCCCATGCCCGCCTTGTGTCGGTGTCGACCCTTCTACGACAAGGCGAAAATGTCCCTATGCAAAATTCTTTGACCGGGATTATTAATGTGACCAGATTTTACAGCCCTTTATTTCCATACGCATTGTGTTTTAAATAAAATTTTAGATAATTTAAATACTAAATTGACAATACCTTTTCAGCGAAAATCGAACAAAAGAAAAAAGAAAATCGCGAACCATTCGGTCACTAATTGACTGGTGCCAACATAAGTACCCGTTCATTGACGATGATTCATTAACGCCCCTTCGGAATGAATGGACCTACATCGCAAAAAAGGGAAAAGATTTCCTTATACATGAAGATACCTATGTACTTATAGGATTTTTGCAAATCCTTGTCTTACTAAATTTCAAGTGCAAGAAATCTTTTTTAAGTGTTTATGTTATGTACTTCAACGTTTAGTCTGTTCGTGGATTCAATATTTTTGTACTATATAAGTAAGCTTCACAAACCACTATCCGAAATTTGATGAGCCTTATGAAATGTCTGGGGCGTCTCGTCTGCAAATATGGGTTGTATTAGTTCCCAGCATACTGTGGCAAGTGTTACAATTAGTCGAGTGCTTTTGATGTAAAATTGAAAATCAAGTATTGATTAAGATAGATAGATGATTAATGTTATTACTATAGTTGTTCAGTAGCTGTAGTGATTAGTTTTATTTAGTTAATATTTGGACTA